GTAATCCTGCAGGTTTTAAGACGGTTCATCAAGGAGTGGCTAGAGAGAACCAAGCCACCCTTCGGCACTCTCGGCAAGGCTGTCCTGCTTCTTATCATCTACTCTACGTTCTGTGACACGTTCTCCAACACAGCACTGCATATAGACCACCTCAGCTTATGTGCAATGGTGTTCATAGGTGAGCCCATGATGGAATAATGGGGAAATGGCCTGGTGCATTAACACCAGGGGGCGCTCTGTGTATTTGGCCTGACCACAAGAGACACTAAGCTGTGTCCAAATAACTTGGCCATGGCTGGAAACTACGCACAAGTCTATGACATGTAGCTGCAGCCACATTCCATGAAGTCAAGTACTGTTTAAAGCCCCAGCCAAGTAATGCAGACACAGCCTTGCTGTTTCACAGTGCATACACTTGAGGCAAATGGTTCTGCCGTATTCTGGGCATTTTGTCCTTTTCAGTCTTAAAGGATACATGCAGGCACAGATAGACAATGAGACCAGCAGTGTGTTTTTGTACTGGTATGCTCCAGTACATGTACATGTACTTTGTGCCCCAAGCCTGCTTGTAAGGTAGGTGTGCCCAGGCTCTTACCACATCAAGAAGATAATATTTTTAATTAGAAAACTCCTGAAGTAGGGGCAGAAATTTGTCATGGCAAATATTTTCGGTCCCCACAAAGTCTGGGTTTTGAAATGTGTATTGGAAAGCTGAGTGTGCATGTGTGCAGTTGCATGTACTTCAATTTTACTTACAACACATACCAACGTACAAAGGTTCATTGGAGAGTGCACATGTGAAGTAAGAACTATGGTCTGTTAGATAAATCCACAGCCATCGGTGCCCTCTCATTTGGCCGTGGTGCCTCCGAAAAGGGATCATGTTTCACCACCAAGATGGCAGTGCCCTTTTTTTCTCTTGGCCATAGCGCTCACACGTGCATATCGACTGCCCTTGGTCAGTGAGGTACACGGAAAGCGGCATGGAAAGCGACATACACATCATTTCATGATCATTCACATTGACCAGAAAACCGCGCCTCGTCACCCAAATGCATGGCATATGAGGGGAATGGTACACTCAGCCCACCTGGCATTGGTTGCCCGGCCCGGCCTGGCCGGGCCCGCGCCATGCACACTGCATGATCGCAAGCGCGGCACAGTCAGTGTTTCCACGCACCACCCACCAGCTTATCCAACAACTTAACATAACAGCGCATGCCCAAGCCAAGCATTTTAATGTGAACAATAACGTTGGTCTAAAATTAAGTGCTGATCGACATGTACGTGTTGACGGAATATTGAGAGCTCCACGTCTTTAATGCACACAGGACGTGGCAGTATTTTAACTAACACTGCAATGTAGTGTTTGCAGTTCAGTGCCACGCTCCGCGTGCGATCTGAACTGAACATACACGTCATCGATCAGGACTACCCTGATTTTCACGTACGTCGTTGTGTGCAAAATCACTCATTTGACTGGCCTGGCCAGTTTTTTGGGTAGGCAAAATGCCGAGAAAAGAATGGCTGCTGTCAAAATGGGCCAAAGCCTTCCAACACTGGGCTGCTGGCTTGACACTAATCACGGATATGTTCAGGTATAATGCGTATCCTACTTACTTCTTAGGCCTGAATGAATAGTGATTATCATGCAGTATCGATATACCTCATTGAGAAAGGACACTTCCAAAAACATATCAGGATGGCATTAATGCCCAGAACTTTGGTTCGCTGATGGCATTAATGCCCTCACGTTTGGCATCGGTGCCCTTTATTTCAGCTAGTCCACCAATGCCAAATGGCAGTGCCCGACAACACAAAATCCAGGGCAGCGAAATGAGCCCTTGGAAGTTAGTCTTGATGGTGTTTTACTCTGTGCCTGTTGAAACTGAAAGATTTGTCAACTTCGAGTTTCTGTTGATGCTGGCAGCAAGTTCTCTGAGAAAGGACTGAAGAGTCTTTGTCCCCCTTCCCTTCTGGGAAAGATTGTGGTTTGAAAACTGAAAGTGACGAAAGTTATTATTGCTTTGCTGTCATCTGTTTGGGAATAGATGCATGGCCTGATTTTGCAATTACATGGATGGATACTGCTGCTTAACTAGGCAAGCTGCAAGCAAAGTCAGGCTGTACCGTGTACACCTTGGCCCTAAACATACTGATGTCATCACTGGTTTTAAACATCCAATCATAAAGCCCATTTTTTGTCGTAAATTTCAGGCCATGTATGCATTGACGGATAATGAAGAAGTTATTTCTTGGAGCTGTACATGTACCAGTAGATGGCACTTGGTTCTTAGTCACGAGACTCAGGAAGGACTTTCCAAGAGTTTGCATTGATTACCACATGCACGTGGTGCAGAAAAGGCACAAGAAAGTTTTCAGCTGAATGGGCACAAAGTAGCTTTGTTGGCTTTAAGGAATGCATGTACCCATGAACGTGAGTGTAGGATGGGGAAAACCCATAAAAGTCTGTTAGCAAAAGAAACTGTCACACTTTGAAGGCACTCTCATGCCACGCATGTATCTATATAGTAAGCAAGCACTGAAGCTTCAAAAAGTGTCACAAGCATAAGAAAAATGTGGAGCCAGCACCCAGTGCTGGATTGGAATACTGACAACCATGGGCATGGCCCAACTGGTAACCTTTATGCCAGTTCATAATTACCGGTACTTCAAGTTTTATTTTGTGTGTGTGTGTGAAAATGAGCCTCACTGTCAAGATAACAACATACCATGTTCATTTAAACCAAATGCTTGCTCGCAGTCGTGGTAACCAATTAGGGGGGAAATCATATGGTCATGGTTCTTTGATGTCTCAGGATCCGACCCTATACCTCGGAGGGTGTAACTTGGCTTGGCAGAATTATCTGTGCAAATGTAGTTTGACATAGTTTCATAGAGTATTTTCATTTCCTTGTTTTACCCTGCCAGTGTTTATTCTGCAAGTATGCCTTATATCCTTCACCTTCTTCATCTCACAAGTGCAATTTTTTGGATTCACTCCAAGCGACACGGTAGCAATCATGTTTTGTGCTACCCACAAATCTCTGACACTGGGTAAGTTGAATCCTGTCACTTGATGCTGCTTGTCGTAACAAAATAACATTTAGACTATCGTGTAGGGTGTACTCTCTGGCAAAGCTTCCAAGATTGAGGGCTTGACACTTTGGATCAAATAGAGTCTTTCATTAAAGGAAAAAAACTGCTTGGATTGACACATTAGGCCATCTTATTTTGAAGCTTTGTATATTTCAGTTCAGTCATCAGTAAAAAGTTTCAGGATCTTATAGTTTTATCCATGCATACAATGCACACTCCGGCAGTTACTTGGAGGAGTTTACATGCATTAAGGGCAGTCTGCCATCAGGCAGTATAAGGAAGAAAGTCCAATACCCTAGTTCAAGAGGTTTCTTGTGACCTGTTTTCTCATGGTACAGTGTACCTTTTGGACTGGTGTAGGATGAATAGGTAGCATACAGTGACGAAACCTGCTAACCAACCGCGATAGAAGAACTGTGATCCATTCAACAATTCAAGTGAAAGTGAAAGCGTGGTCCCTAGTCCTGTTAAAGTTACGAGACTCCACAGTGGTAAAAGATGGAAAGGAATGCCTTTGACACAGTTGAATTGTGCAGCTACTGACATGGAGCTTGATCGACTAGTAAATTGACTTTCACTGTCTTGAGACTAACTCAGCAGAGCAGGATTCAAACCTCGCTGATCAGAATCACCAAAACGACAAGGAAAGTCCCAAATGACCATTCCTAACTTTCCACTTTGACAAGTACCTCCTCCTCTCTCTCTCTCTCTAGGCATCCCCATGTTGAAGATTATCTTTGCCGGTTACGAGCACCTGTCCCTCATCTCCATCCCCCTCCTAGTCTACCATCCCACCCAGATCCTTCTCGGTGGCTTGCTGGTGGGGCGAGTCAAGCAGTGGATGCTCGCAGCTGAGAAACAGAGGTAGGGTTCTTGGAAATAAATCTGGTGTTGTGTTGTACTCCAAACCCCTTAAGACCATCACAAGAGTCCACAAAATTGCCACAAGACCGGCACAAGACCTCTTGTCTGAATTCTAGTCACAGGCTATTATCCTGTAGTAAGACACGTCCCAGACTGCTCTTCTGAATGGTCTTGCGTCTGGTCTTGTGATGGTCTCAACATTGTATACAATTCTTTGCACTTGCTCTACAATCCCACTTCATTTTCTTTTTCTTTCTGTTATGAATACAACACCAGGAAAAGAATATTCAATTTCATTAAAGATACAGTGGCACTTTTACTTAGTAATAGGGCTCAGCACCCCACAAAAGCTGAGAGTGCCATTGGTTTCCAGAATATTGAGGGAGTATTGAGGATTTAAGAAAGTTCAAAGCAAAATTTCCAATCTAGTCTACATGCAAGTTGAACTAAGCTTCCTTTGAAATTTCAGAATTAAGGGTACTAGAGTGTACTTCATTTACACACTACCAGTTTTATCCAGTGAACTTCTTGTTTTTCTAGCTCTCAGAATAAAAGTTATGTGCGATTCAGTTGACATTTCATGTTCTTGTTTCTCTTCTGTATCGTTCTGCCCCAGGATAACACCATCATCACTACCCAAATAGATAGACTCATGCGTTGCTTTCTCTTGGTCCTTTAAAGGGGCTTCTAACATTGCTGTAGTAAGTGTGCATGCCTGCATATGTGTTATTTTGTTGTGTTTTTTGTCACGTTAGGGCTGTGCTTTAAGGGTGTAACAGAGCCAAATGCCCATTTCTGCATGGCTTTGGCACTACAAGAGCATTGATTTCTTGTAAAAATGAGGCGTTTTAGTAACACAATTGGGCACACACTGATGTGGTGAATTTCAAAAAGACCTAACCGCTGTGTCCCCCCCCCAAATTTATTGATGTTTGTAATCGTTAATGAGTCTGCTATACATATTTTAAAGAAATGGCATAAAAATCACAAAGGTACAGTAAATGACAAATGGTCGTCGTCTTTCCTTTTTACAAATATAAAACTCCAAACTTAATCTTTCGTCCTGAGTATATTCCTTGAAGTTTTGATTAGGACAAACTCTTGATACGTAGTTGGAATTTGTTGACAGTGCCCAAAAAAACTGCATTGTAAGGAGCATCATATTCCCTTTCATACCAGTAAACCCTCACTCTGGTATTTTCCTCTGACCCTAAGGTCCAAAAGAAGAATTATATTCTTATATCATGAGAGAAGGACACCATAAATGGACTACTTCATTTCCCTTTTTTCCCAAAGCCTTTTAAAATTTCCCAGATTTAAATACACCTGAGTAAGCTCATAAAGATTACAATTAGTGTTTTGCAACCCCCCCCACACACAAAACAAAGTTTACGTCCCCCCAACACCCCCCACATCCACCCCCCCCGGGTCCTGGATCTGCTCTGCCCTACTTCATGTCAAGTTTGTTTCAATTTTGTTTAAGTTCTTGTCTGTAATAACAGTGAGCCTCTTTTTGGGGATGAGTTTGTTGGTACTTTGTTCACTCATCTGTGTACACAGTTTGAAAAGCGTTAAAACAGTTTTTTGTGTGAAGCACAGTAGAAGTCATGCTTTTGCCTGTGTTGGCTATGGAATGCATAAAGCTTCTTCATTCTTGTCAGTAGTGAACCCCCTGCCTGTTGAATTCTGTCCGATATCATCACCCCTCTTTTTTGGGGGGGCACACCAAACTTTTGAGGGTTCTCTTGCCAGAGACACATTGACATCAACTTTATTAAACTTGGTCATAACATGGCTAAAAAGGTTAACTTTCTTGTTGATTTGACTTTATATACATCATGGAAAAAGAGTCCTGAGATGAGTCCCCAATTCAGGCATTCAATATTACCTTGGATCCCGTTGAAAATTGGAAAACACTCTACAAAGTCTTGTAAAGATAGGAATTTCTTGCAAAGTAGAGTTGTTGAAAAGAAACGACGTGTTCAAGTCGAGGGGCAGCTGCACAGACTTGCAATACGTACAGACAGACAGGCAAGTTTCAAGAACCTGGCTTTGTTATAACATCCCTGTCTTCTGTGCATGTCAAATAAAGATGTCGGGACAGAGCAAACTAGAAAGTGGTTTTGAATGGCCTTGGTGTTAACCCCTTAACATACTGATAATGGATAGCTTTACTTAATTACCACATGTCAGGAAAGTGTGGTTGTCGGGCAACCAAGATATGAAGGGGCTGGAGAAACCACAAACCACCCCCTCCCTTTGGCTGTCAAGAGGGCAAACACAAGCACCCTAAGGGTTCACGTCTGATTTTTTAAATCAAATAATGCCTCAAAAGGTGGAGGTCTCTTTGCAATGTTACATTGAAATTTGCCCCGAGCTACTTATTTCTGAGACGTCAAAGACATGGTTGTCTTATACTGAAGTCATTCACGGTGATATGACAGAGTTGATAAAATCTGACAGTATCAGTTTTCCCTTTTTTTTCTCTCCCCAGAAAAGAGATGGAAAATGGAGAGCCGTCCCTCAACACCACCTCTGACGGCAGCAACTCAAGAGACTCCATATAAAGTTAAAATATTTATATTTTTGTATCCCTAGTAATCCTGTTGTCTTGATCAGATTACTCCCAAATTAATTGACACCCTGAAGCTGTCTACATAGCTAGCACCTGGTGGTTGGGTTACACGAGACGACAGCAGTCATTCAGCATTTTATGAATGGACTTTGGTCCTCGGTGTAAGAGAAGGTCAAATTGCCCAGCAATTTGCACCTTGGCACCAGACATGCATTGAATTAACATGTTTAATTCGCCATTTAGCTTGGCTGATTGTGGCCTGCACCTGTTTTCTTATATCAACCCACCTCCACGCCTTCAAAGTTGATTTTTTTTTATTGAGCTTAATGCGATATTTGAACTCTTACTCTGTCCACGCTTCATTATTTTTTAATCTCATGTTAATTTGATATTTTAGCAGCTGATGTCAGCGTCCTTGTTGTCTGTCTTGTTTTGTTGTAACAGGAGTAGTTTTAATATTGTCCCTTGTTTCTACATGCTTTCCACAGTTTTGTTTTTACTCTGAAATGAAATGACAGAAACGCAACATCAGAACAGTAGAGATGTAAGAATAATTGTACAGGTTAAAACATGTCCTTTCCCATACAGGTTTGGTTTATTTTCCAACAAAGAAAAGATATTCAATCTGTACATTAACGGTGTTCTGAATGTAATTTGTATATTGTATCAAACATGAGGGTTCAGTACTTACATATTAATTGCAGTAGTTGATATTGCAGTAGTTGATATTTCTCTTGTACAAGTGTTTTTCCACTGAAAGATGCAATTTTGATGCTACCGTTTATACCTTGTTTTCCATTCACTTTAACATTCATTCAGGTTTGAGAGACTCAAAGCTAGCATTTTGTCTTTGCATTGCCATAGATGCATGTGGATTGAACAATGTTTGCAGCATTGGCTGAACTAGTGGTTCAGAAAGTGTGATATTGCAAAGCCCCTTCTACTTTCCGTCCCCTCTGTGCTTGTCATTGCTTTGGATGGATGGTATTTGCATGTAGGTGTTGCTTGGATTCCTATATGCAGACTTTGGACACTTGAATACTTCTGTAGTTGTGTTCCTCACGAGTTTGTCACAAGTCCATCGCTAGATGCCTGTTCGAAAGCCGAGTCACAAGCTGTTAAAAGGAGAAGACCTAAGGCATCACGACGTCATGCTTTGTTCACATGCATGCTTTCATGTGGGAGACAGTTGGAGGTGAGATCCACCAAGCTCCCTAAGGAACGTGCACGCGTCAAAACCTGACCTCATCGGGTCAGAGGTATACTGCGATGGAACCATCCTGTTATGTGTAACAGGTCTTGTGACTGCATGTGAAAGGACTAGTAGTAGCCTCAGTTGCAGCCTGCCGGGGGGGGGTTCGTTATTTCAAACATTTTGTACAGACAGTATTGGCTATTCTTGTGTTCGGTTCCAGGCAATTTTTAGAGTCCCTTAATATTTCATGAAAAGTGCTTGCTCTTTTTTCCTGTCGTCATTGCCTTTTGTCTTGTCTCTAGAATGGCGTTAAAAGATTCAAAGGTACTGAAGAGGAAAACTAAGGGGCAGATGTTATGCACGTTGCGTGTGTAAGTGTTCTTGGTGAATGGTATATTCCAGTCACCGACAACCATTGATGATAGCATTTACAGTTTCCCAATTCTCGGCTTGCCGGCAACCTGCCAATTTCTTGGATATTCCATTGCCAACAAGTATTTTCAGTTAAACTGATAGGTTTAAGTTACGAATTATAGATGTCAATTAATTGTTGGAGTTGGGGTATTTTTACTTTTTCTTCTACCCTTTTATTTGGACGTTTTTTTTATTTGTTGAAGTTGACATTTTCCACTGTTTGGTTGTGTTCTTTTCTATTGTTTTGGAAGGGATTAGTGAAATATGGATGGTTGTATGTGGTGTAATAGGCTTGAAATTTTTTCGGATTGATGTTGCTGAATTACAAAAGGCTATACAATGTACATGGGTTCAGCTGTCGCAATATTCAAGCCGGATCTTTCCTGCTTTAAAGAGAGAAACATAGTGTCCACTGAATTTGTTATATTCGAAATTTCTTATTTTTGTAGAGCACCACTAAAATATATATTGTACCTCGAGGTTGCTGAAACTAATTTGTTCTCAACAGGCGTTTGAAATTTCAGCAACTGTGAAAGTTAGGTATTTACTTGTTTCAAAACGTACATTTTTGTAATCTAATAAAGGCATTTTGTATATTTGCATGTACCTTATTCGTCGTCTGTGGTGGTATTTGGTGCATTAAATGTAAAGCTTTATACATTCATGAATTGATCTCATTGGAGTATTTCTTTTTAATTTAGAAATTTTAGATAATGTTTTTGTATTCTGAAAGTTCAGTCGACTCGTTAGTGGGTAATTCCAGAAATTAGAGGTCCATTTTTTTGTGTCCCTGTCACATCTGACATACGATTTTGTAAGTTAAGAACACATTTTCGAATTTCCAAGAGTGATGAATTAATGCTAATTGCCTGCCAAAAAATGATAATCGTTTGAAATCAAGTCCGGTCACATTTCCGTGTCAAATAACAAAGGTCAGATGTAACAGGGACAAGAAAATGCCACACTTTTGGACCCCTAATTTCTGGAATTGCCCTGCTACGAAATCCGCGGGACCTAGTAAAAATGTTGGTTGTATCTGAAATTCGCTGTACGGGAAGCTCCAGGCAGTGGCTTCAGTGTGTTGTTTCATAGGTCATATTCCATAGAACCCGATCTTTTAACGTCACAGACGTGTTTTTCCTACGAGTGGCTGCCAAAACTAAGATGGTCTGAGGTATAAAAGTAAATGAATTACAAAGTGTTAAAATCCCAGGGAGCTATCATAACAGCAGGTAATAATAAATGTACTATAAAACAGTAAATGAAAATATAACCCTTAAAAATTCTAGTAAATGACATTTAAATCGTTTTTATAGGTGAATTTAATGAATGGAATTTGGGGGGGATTTAGTTTAGCAGACCCCGTCATATTCAGATTTGGTTTTTATTTGTTTTGGGGGGGGTTCATTTCACAATAAACAAGATGTTCACGCGAGAAATTTCCCACACTAACAGAGGGCGCTCTCGCAGTAGACCAGAGCCAACTTCAGACTTGGGAATCAAAATGGTTGTTCGTTATGTATGCGGTACACGCACGTATATGAAAATCTGGGCTCGCAGTGTCCTTAATCAGCTTACAGAGATCATTGAATCCACTCGCGGCATTTTACCGAGCCGAATACAAAGCTTGCCCGGCAATGCCCGCCTTTGTTCTCCCTGGCGTCAATAGAAGCGAGGCAACCCGCGCATTAGTATTCGGCTCGGTAAAATGGCCGTTGGTTGGCTTCTATTTCATACAAATTAAGGCGTTTCAAGTCCAGGTTTTTATAATATATACGTCCGTGATGCGGTAAAGCAGCAGTTATTGAGTGTCATTTGTCTCTGTGCACTGACGCATAATCCACTATTTTGGTTTCAAAAATTTGGAGACGTTCATGTCGCAGCTCTCAAACAGCTCTGACTCCTGCGCTCGTTCCCCTATCCATGCAGAGCGCTAGGATGGGATCACGTTCATTGCATATACATACACGAAGTTCATTCGGCGAGCTTGCTGGGGGGTGTCACTTATTTTTTTATATTTTATTTTACTTTAATTTTGTTTTGGTTTGGGTTTTCCCATCCTTCTGCACACTCCCTTCCATCCAAAGTGTATGTAAACCTGTGCCAGAACCGTATACACATCATGTAGAATATCTCATACTCGAATTGAGTACACACAGAAGAAAAAACGTCAGGCCCCGTCACTTTATTCGTCCCTGTAGATATTAAACATATTTATATACAGAACCTTTACATTTTATTTTAGAGTGTAGCATAATTCATCATGAAGTGTATAAAGGAAGTAAGTTGCGTGTAGTTAGTCCCTATTAACAGAAAAGGCACTCTACTTGGGAGCCTGAAGAGCTGTATGGGGTGCAACTCCGTTGAGGGCCAACAGTGAAAATCAATCTAAAAGTAAATTAACTTCCGCTCCTTTTAAAAGAGATATTTGAGGGAAAGCTTCGAGTTTATACAACGCGGTAAGCCACATGTCCATGCATTTCAAAATTACACAAAATTTCTAAAATGAATCATATTTTACACCGCCAAAATTGAAGCAATTCATTATTTTGAGATCTTTCATTTGGCGTCTCGCTTATGGAAATCATTCCTTGATTATAAACGGAACTTAATTTGTGAAAATTCACTTTTGTTTATTCTTGTACAAGTATGTATATATACATGTAGTTACGTAATAGAGACATTATTACAGTCCACAGTTTCCTTTCAGGTCAATGCAAGACCGTCAGGAGTGCAAAGCGACCTCATTTTACATTCGCTGCCCTGCAACAACGCTCCATTTTACCTTAAAAGGTTGTACATGTACAAACTTAAAGGGCATGTGATGGCTATAGAAGAAAAATGTGACGCCTAAAACGCACCCCGTATGGTTATTAGGCTCCCTGTCGAAGTTACAATCTGGAGCGATTTTTACATGGTAAAACAGGGTTCATTCTATATGCCAGGATATCTCTTTTAGCACGTGTGATTCTGAAAAGAGCCGGAGCGATATTTGGCGTCCGATTCTCACATCAAAGTCCAATGGTCTCTATACCCTCGGATTTTTTCCTAGCCTATGGGTCCCCTATACCCTTGGTAACCTTCCCCCATGCCCCCCCCCCTCCTTCAGCTTGACACACCTCACTGATCATCTAGCATCCCATGTTCTGCTTGACTGCCCTGGGTTGGATCCCATGTTAGCATCATCTCCACACCTCACCGCCTCCGGACACCATAAGCTGCTTCATCATTATAACCTCTCCAGTCTCCTGGCGACGGACAGAGCATGATGTCCAAGACTGGACTACCCTCCAGTTCTTTGCAGAACCACACAAACATACCCAAAAAGAGATATCCTTGCATGATGCTCTCGCAGACTCCTTTACCTGACTTGTAGCCTTAACCATGATATAAGCTTCAAAGCTCAGGGTTCACTCTGTGGAAAGGAACTTATTCTCGCTGATGTGTTTTTAAAATACAGCATCAACGGCACAGAATCTTTCCCAAATTTCCATTGAGTCTGAAAAACACGAATGTTGAGAAAAAAACCCACAGTTATACCTCCGTCAACTGGTCCTGCAAACTCGTTCCTTTGCGTACCCTTAGGGTAGCTTCCCCATCGTGGTTTTGTGCCCCCGTCCAAGCTTTTTCAACCAAGAGATGAATTAATATTTGTCTGGCATTTCCTTGGTTGTCAATAAAAGAAACAATTCCCTTGAAGATTTTCCAGAAAATCCCAGGATTAAATTTCACACATTCTGCCTGGTTTGTTTCCTGTTTTTAACCAACAAAAGGGATGAGGTTGTTATATATAGAAAATATCCGAAATATGTTTCAAAGAATTCCAGGGGAAATCGTATAAACAAAATCCTGTAGTTTTCTGCATTTCAGTCATTTCAAAGACCACATTGTTTTAAGGTCATTGCATGCGTTTACTGAAGTGTCCACTGGTAAATACAACACAAATTCTAAAACAGAAACATCTGGATAATGTGATAGAAGTCTGAACGTATAAACCAAATTCTTAAATTTCATATAGAAAGATTTTCTGGTTTTCACGAAAATAAATGCGTTGGTAAAATCTGTCCGTATGATTTGGCAAAGTGCAGACGGAATAAGTGCAAGTTGACTCAAACTTTAAAGAAAAGGTTTGAAATTCATGGATATGCTCTTACGTCACTCTGCAAGGGTACACATTTCTAAAGGCCTACAAACACCTTTGGAAATAGCAATGCAGAGACTAAAAGTGGGTTTATTTTTGCCCCAACCCTCTTTTCTATCCAAGGTTTCAAGTGGCCTCATGACATCTTTTGAAGCTTCGATCTCAAATTCTGCGCGGTGGTTGATTGTCTGTGTTTGTGTGTCACCAGCAGAGGGCGCGCGATTACGAGTCAATATTTCTTCCTCCGGTAGTAGTCTCCTTCTGGATTATACAAGGTGAGAAGTCTAGCAATTTGGTCATTTTTGCTATTTGAGATAAATTCTCCACATTTAACTCACTTGAACCTGGACAGCAAAGCTTTCAGAAGTCGGGATGGTTCAGGGATGTCGGACCACTGACGATGTAGGATGCATAGCATGACCTCCTTGAACATTGGATGTTTGGCTCCATACAGCAACGGGTTTACAGCACTGTTGGCAAACAAGAAAATGACACCGTACAGGAAGAGGTTGTCTGCCCCCAGCATGATGAAGAGGCAGTTGGGCAACGGGAGAAGGAAGCAGACGCAGGAGACGACGAAGAGGTTCTTGGTGATTTGAATCTGATGCTTCTGGATGCGCTTCTTGCGGTTGGTGTCGGTGATGACGCTGACCACGGGCTCAGAGATGCTTGGGTCGTGGGAGCTTGCTGCGGTCGAAGAGACATAGCGGAAACTGGAGCAGGCTCGCCGTCCCTTTTTGAGGTGACGCCGGATAAAAGTGTAGACGATGCCATAACTGATGAGCGTGATGGCAACTGGGCCTGGGTATAGCGTGGCAGCCAGTAAGGTCTTGTAGAGGATCGAGAGATGGTGCTCGCTGTCATCTAAGCACATGTTGACGTGGTTGTTGTAGCTGAGCTGACCTACACCTGACACCAAGAGGACGGTGACAATGATAAAGGGGAGCAGCCAAATGATCACCAACGTGGGCACCAGTTTGCGGACTTGGTACATCTTCTTGTATACTGTGGTGTGCTTAGTGATCAGAAGCATGCGATTCACGGCGATGGCCGCGATGCTGAACGAAGTCACCCCTGCCACTGATGGTGTTGTGAAGGCCACCACGAAACAGAGATTCTCCAGAGATTGGGGTAGACCGCCCCGGATGAGCACAATCACAGCGTTGACCGGGGCGCACAGGCACAAGAGGAGGTCAGCCACGCTGAGATTGGCCACGAAGACGTTGGTGATGGTCTGCAGCCGGCATGACAGGACCACCGCCATCAAGACGATGGCATTCCCAGTGACACCAAGAACAGATATGAGCAGTATGACCATGGAAACAAAGACTCTCGCTCCGTATGTATACTGCGAGGTCGAGTTTTCCGCTGGCAGATAATCGCTAGTGTTGAAAGCAATAAAAACTTCTTGCAGGTCCACATTGACAGCGGTAGTAATGTTACGCACCATTTTCCCCGAGCAGCAGTTGCTCTCGTGAAGAAAGAAATGTAGGTTACACTGAGAAATTCTTGATATCCAAATGATTTAAAT